AGCTTTTCTGAAGCTCTGCTGTCTAAACACTTAACTTAGGAATCAGTAAAATCAGGCTCAAGTCCTCATTTCAAAGATACGTTCATCACCGCTCGTCACATCAGTACCTAGCAAGAGGACTAAATTGTTTGGAGATGTCTCTCACTGATCTTGAAGGATTTTAAAGACTTATTTTTCCTTTTGGTGCAAACTGAAAGCAAATAAAGTTTTTTTTTTTTTAATCTCTCTCCAGAAAATACAATTCTTATTTCATGGTTATCCCACTAGAAACATCCCAATTTGTTGTACATTTAAAAAATCTATTTTAAAGAGGAATAACAATTCGGTATTACACATCGGGTATACAGGCCTTCTAAGAAGACAGTTTTCCACCCTGCACCTGTGGGTGTTCTGCAATCTAATACTGAAAGTGATGATTCATTTCAGGAAGATCCACTTTGGTTACAGAGGGATAAAGACAAAGTTTATTTAAGAGAAATCAAAAAGGATTTGGTAATCAAGAACACTTGGAAGTTATCCATCCACAGGATATATAACATATGAGCAAAGGGAAATTACTAAAATGTTTAAGTAATGCAATTCTATACTAAAACTGAAGAGTCTCACTCTGTCCTAGCAAGGGGACAGTAAGAGAGAAAGAGTAATTCCCAGGTTAGGAATGTGGGTCTCCTGGGGTAAAGGATTAAAAATTGTATCACATAAATTGAAATGTCCAAACCAGAAAGAGGAAAAACAAAAAATCAAACAACAACAACAAACCCCCCAAAGAGAATGTTAACTTTTGTTTGGATCTAACTCAGCTCAGTTTCAACTTTTATGGATATAAGGATACATGTCACTTTGCAAGAAACAGCAATGTCTCATAGTAACAGCATCAATTTGGAATAGCTCAACCCCCTTGGTATCAAACTACATAAATTATCCAGATCTAGTGAAAATGACAAACTATGCTGTAAATTGGAGGATATTGCATCTTGCAAAATGATCTGGAGTATACAAGTGAATTATTATTGTTATAAATTTACGGTGGTCCTGAAATGAGGTCTGATTAGCATTTCATTTGGACCCTCGACAATATGGCAGAGAGAAAAAAAGATCCAGGAATATCAAGCCAATTATAGTGTTCACGTGCCATCAACTTTCTGCTCCAAAACCTTTGAAAGTTAAGCCAAACCAAACCAATGTAAATTGGTGGATTTGGACATCCTTTTCATGACCACATTATCTTAGCTGTATTGTTAGCAACTTCTTTTGGCCAGCCAATTAAGTGTAAAAGGGAGAGAGAGGGGGAGAGAGAGAGATGTCTTTAATGTTCTGATGTCCTGATTCTGTGAACAATTTTCCAAGCAAATTCACTTTTAAGGGCACCTCTATGAAGAGGAAAAACATCACTGCGCTGCTGTCAGTGTTTCTTCGCAGCAGGCTATAAATACCTAGGGAACAAGATGAAACAAAAGTCTTTAAGAGCTTCCTATCTAGTGCTGGTGTTAAAGTATAGCAGTAAGGAACATTGCAGAGAAAAAAAAATATTCATTGTAATAAAGTCTGACTCTTTGCTCACTATATGGTGACTGCTTTGCATTTTCAAATGGTGTTTATCATTGCGTTGAATCATTGGGCTTTGCCCTAGAGCAGAACAAATCACTTGTTTGTTTTATATCCCAATTTCCAGCTTATTTTTTTAAGAGGAGCTAGAGAATAGGATGGACCCACAGCTAGAAAGGCAGAAAATATGGTGATAATTAATTCACCATTATTTCCATAATTATTTGGGCACCATTTCCATTATTTCTCCCATAGATTTTATAAAGAATCTAGTGAAAGGAATTATTCAAAGGTACATCAGTTTGGCTGAACAAACACAGGCAACGTAGCACTCCTTTTGTTAACAAAATCACACAGGTGCTCCTGATGGGAGAGCTGAAAGGCAGCTGAATTCAGGCTTGATTGGGATTCATGAACAACCAACATTATAGGCACTCTGCGTAACCACACTGAAGATATTGCAACAACACTTATTTAAGAACATTTCTGGCACTCCTGCTTCCAGCCACACTGCTAATAATGTAAAAATAACCACACATGCAATTTAATGTCAGTTCCAGCAGCAATTTGAGCTGAAACCTGGTAGTGCAGAGGAACACCAAAAACAAGTTAAAAATGATAGTTTAGGTAATATATTTATTCAAATACATCATAACTTTTAAAACATAGGATGTGAATGTACATCATTTTGGGGTAGTTCTGATGCTGTGTGAACTGCCTTGTGTGAAACACTCTCATTAATTCTTTTCTGTTGCACAGAACAAATCCCTCTCCTAAATCACATTGCATTCTGCCTTAGCTTAATCTATAATTCACAATACCTTAAAACTGAATATAAAAGGAAATTCTGCATGTATGCATGTGTATAGCCAGATCTCTCTCTCTCTAGCTATCTCTTTTTTTAAAAAAGGAAAGATTTGGAAGCTGAAACTACCATAAATGATACCAGGTACCTTCCTGCATAGGAACCCCTGAAACTTTTGCAATGAATCTACCCCAAAATAGGTGTGGTCCTGAGGCCCTGGTAGGAGTTTTATGACAAAAATCATCGTGCTGGATTCAACAACAAAGTGAAGTACAACTTGAAGAAAGACATTCTTTAGTTAGTCCTTTCATTTAAAATTAGTTATGTTCAGGGCAAAAATATTGTATTTCAAAGGAGTCTATTATGCCTTCCCATAAACAGAAAGATCATACGTTTTAAAACTAAAGTATCATTATGTAATCAAGCTGTTGTATTATAAACTATTTTGTGGGCTCAGATGCCCAGGGCTATCTTTACAAATATTTAAGAGGTCATTATCAGGCTATGTTCTCCCTAAAACTATAATTCTTTCCTCCTGTTTTCATATATATCTTTCCATAAATACCTGATTTATAAACAATTTTTTAAGAAGTTTACTAAGGGCACAAAAGGCAGTAGGAAAATGTGACTGCAGCAAATACAGCAATGGCAAGATAATGTGTCTGATGAGATAAACACCACAAAACAACATACAGCAGAGATAATGTTTCACAAGAAGATCAATATTTGCAAGTCGGGAGAAGAAAAATCATGAGGAGTATTAATGGGTAAGTTCAACATGTTAAATACGTTAAGTCCATGGAACTAGTGCTATGAACTCTAAATATTATGCAGCACTCAAGAATTAAGGAAGCATTAAAAATTCTGTGTCTGGATTAGGTTAGACAGAGCCCAGAGTTCCAGGTGACTGCAGGAGCACAACAGCAATCTCTCCGTCTGAGGTCACGGATGGCAGGGAAATAGATGACAGGGGGGACAAGGGAACAAGTAAACAAGTCACTGCAGAGGGAAGAAGGACCTGGAGGCACTAAGAGCAGTGCTGGACCCATGCGGAAGGTTGGGTGAGCTGAAGAGACGAGCTGGGACGTGTGGCATGCAGCTGGAGCAGCTCATGGTGACACCAGCTCCCCTTGGACGTGGCAGGGGCTGAGCTCGGCTTGCCATGTCCCTGACATCTCTGACCTACATTTGGGTGTCTGAGCTAGTATCACTCAGATCCGTCCGATCCGTAGTCCAGAGAGGGCACCCAACAACCACGGAAGGAGATGCAAAATAAATGTCATGTTAGAGAGCAGCACCAGACAAGGATATACAAATCTGGGAAACTAAACAGGAGGTAAGAAGTCACTCTGAAGGACAGAGTATTATAAAAAAAACCCTGTTTTCACCTATCGTTGATCATGATAGGTGTGTGTCTCATTAGCAAATAAAATACAGCATTGGGAAATA